TCCCTACTCCAGGCTGCTGTTTTAAACAGGGTGTGCCCTGCTTGGAGAGGGAGGTACCAGGGCAGTATCCTGGAGAAGCCAGCATTAGACCTCCTGCAGAGTTAAGATCATGCTGTCTCCTACTGTGCTGCAGGTGATGGGACAAGGTGACATCCCAGGCTCAAAGGGATGCACTCTCTATGGCCTAAAGGACTTGTCCTCACCACAAAGTTGCATTTCTGGACAAGCAGGAAAATCCTTAAGCTCTTACGATTTCAACAGACTAGGGAAGCCAAAACTGCACCTCATTTCCCAACTTCTAGCACTTCCCCTAGTTTCTTAGAGTCTTTTAACAGCACCACACAGGCCAAAGTAGCCAGAGCCCTGCACACCTTGCCCTCCAAGGAGATGGGGAAAAAGAGGAGGACTGACAGAACCAGCTACCCACCCAGACAGCTTAACAGCTTGAGGGGCTCTGCGCAAGCCACTGGCTACCTCCCCACAGCTTCTCCCTGCCCCAGGCAGTGCAGGGGAAAGCTTGCAAGAGCTGGGTCAGGCCAGGGGCTCCAGGACCAGCTGGAGGAGGTGGAAGCTGCCATGGTTTCACCTGTTTGCGCAGGCAAGAGGTTTTGGGGTCTGGAGAAGGCGGCAGGCTGGGGAGCTGTGACTGGGGGAAGAGTCAGGCCAGGGGGAAAGCAAGTAAGAGTGGTGCTGTGGAGGGTCTGTGTTTGCCAGGATGGTCCCTTGCTGTAGGGCCAAAGGACAGTTGTGGGACGGCAGCGTGAAGGCATGAGCGTGGGAAGGACAGGGCAGGTCCGGCATTTCCTCGGTCAGCCTTGCACCAGGGAGGCCCTGCCTGAAAATGCAGCGCCAGGCCGGGAGGAGGACGTGCCAGCTGCTCTCTGCCTGCTCCAGGAGCCTGCCCAGCCCAGGGCAGTGGTGGGGAACTAGGAAATGCTTCTCACATGTGAGGTTGTACTGTTGTGCCAACTGGCTTGAAGGTCTGGGTGGCCGCTGCAAAGGAGTGGGTAGCAGAGGACTCCTTTCTAACCTTCATCCCCTCCACCCAGGGCTGCAGGGAAGCAGCGAGGGTTGGTTTGGCTTGTGCCTCACTCACACAATTATGAGAACACGGTCCTGAATCTTCTGCAAGAGCTTCACGCACTGCTCCACCGTGAAGGACTCTCGACTCTGCTGCAGGTACAAAGATAAAGAGAGCAGCAAAGGTCAGGGACAGCAGCTGGGGGCAGAGGGTGTCCCTGACCCCTGCCACACTAGCAGCTCTGAAGGCAGAAGTGGCTGCGGCCCCAACGCTGCCGTGCTGGGACATGACAGGCGGCCAGGCTGTGCACAAGAGTAGCTGGCTCTGCAAAGGCTCCTTCTGTCCAGCTGCGTTTCAGGGCTGCCAACAACACTGCCTGCTGGGATGCAGCACATGTGGGAATGATCTCATAGCAGAGAAAAGCTTTAAAAATCCTTTTACTAAAAAGGAGACAGTTACAATACTCTGGCTTTCATAGCCTGGCAGTAGCACAGGTAGAGGAGGCCCTACTTGCTCAAAAGTGGCACAAAGCTATCGGAATATCAGACACAGGGACTTTGCTCTACTCTCTCTCCCCTTCTTATACGGGTGACCTGACAAAGCAGCTGACCGAAAGCATCTATCCCTCTGCTGCCTGAAGAGTTATAACGGCAGGAAAATGTGGCCAGGAGGCCCTGGGGCAGAGGAACTGCTAGAAAAATCTGTAACATTTTCCAGTGACTCTGTAAGCTGAGTCAGTTAACGATCGAGTGCAGGCTCTTTTAACAGCGGCATTTAAAAGAGGTGTGGGAATTAGGGAAGCAGAAAGTAAACAGTTGGGTGGAGGCAGGGCCTGGGCTCAGTGAGCAGGCCTCCACTATCTCCGAGTTTTCTGTAAGCTCAGGGCTCAGAAGCAGCAGGGGACATGTCAGAAGAGCAGTGCTCACCGTACGGACTCTCAGGTCTCTGTTATACACCAGCCCTGGAATGAAAAAACAAGAGAAGGTTTTCATGTCTCACAGGAGCAGGAGTTGTTCTCCTTCTCCTCACCTCTGGGGTCTGCCCAAGACTTTTTGAGACAAGAGGAATAGGATTAATTCAGTTTTTCCCTTTTTTTTTTTTATTTCTTTTCTTTAGCCGTTCTAGGATTCGAGCACCAACCACAGTTGCTGGGAATGGAGAGCTCTGCTTCCAGACCTAATTGATCCCATTCAGACTGTATAAACTTGTAGCTAGGGCACCCTGTACCCTGTGGAAGACAATGGCTGTTGGCACCGCTCCCTTCCCACACCCAGCGTTGGCTCAGCACTGTGGTGAGCCCTGTCTCCAAGCAGCCCCTTACCAGCGGGTGTCTCAGTTGCTCCTCGCTGCAGTAGGATTGCCCCACCCTCTGCTGTCAGATGTCTGTTTGCTTCTAAGAGCCTGGGGGAGACATGGCAGAGAGATTGTTCTGCTGGAAAAGGGAGGAAGCGAAGCAAAAATGGCATGACAAGGTGACAGCGAGCTCTCAGGCTGCTTCAGAAAAGAGCAGGAAGAAGCAGCAGCTTCTGGCAGCAGAAGCAAAAGGTCTTGCTGAGATTCCAGAGGAGGACTTGAAAGGAGAAGTGCAGGGGCAGCTTCCCTTTCTCATTCATGTAGCCGTAACGCTGTCCAAAGTGAGAGCAGGCAGCAAATGAAGAGGACAGATAGGAACCCACCTCTGCAATGCTGCTTCAGGGCTCCGTGCTTTGGGAATTTGCTGCTTTGCCTCTAGACTCAGTAATCTGTCAATCACCATCCGTTCTGATTTCAGCCATGCCTCAGTGTCCTGAAACAAAGAGAGGTAGGGAACAGGAGTAACCCCTCTCTTCTAAATCTTATTACCCCTTACCAGAAGGTAGAAGAGGGCATTTCACCCTTCAGTATCCCTCAGAACTGGTACCAGTTATGGACATATTAAAAATGCCCATTTCTGGGGAAAAGAGAACAACAATACTTAAAAGGCAAGGTAGGAACAGAAAGCTAAGCACTGTTATAAAGAACTTACTAACTTTTTACCCCTGTGATCTCTTCTACCCCTTTCTACCTCACTTTTGAGTTGAGGACAACTGTCCAAAAGAACAAGGGAAATCTGGTATCTCTTGTCTCTCTGACCCTGGGCTTCTGTCCCACTTCTGCCAAGCAAAGCCCCAGCATCTGGTAGCGATGATGGCAGGTTGGGAATGTAGTTTTATGTCCTGCCAGGAACAGAAAAAGAAATCCACCAATCTTGCACCCAGGACACCCAACAAGCTATTGGCAAAAAGACAACCTTGGCTGGCAGTTGCTTGGACAGAGGTTCCAGTTCCCTTTGTACAAGGGCATGGCACAGACAAGTGAATTTTGGTGCTAAGGGACTGCAGGATGTAGAGCGCTACCAAGTGTCCCCATGTCCCCAAAGGGCCACCCTAAGCAGGGACCTCAGTCCCTGCAACAAGGAGCAGATCTGTGCCTGCCAAAAGGAAGAGCCCCGAGACTTGTGTGACCTGCCAGGTCACATCAGTGCTTTCTCTGAACAAATGAGGGAAAGAAAAAAACCATTTATTTTGTATTTAAAAAAGGGAGGAGAAGGATACACGAAATCTAACCTCTGGAGCTAGCAGAAAGCCAAGATTTTCCAGCAGGATCAGCTTGTCCACCATCTCAGGATAAAGGAAACAGAACTGAGGAGAGATGAAACAATATGAAAGAAAGAGAAAAGTTGAGCACTGAGTGATGTCTTTGTCCTGCTACACTGGAGAGGGGGTCAGGGAGGGGCCTCTCCTCCCCTGAGATTCAAGTCCCACACAGTCTGTCCCTTCATTCCTCTCCCATTTGTTGTTCCAGCTGCAGAAATCACAAACCCCATGAAGAAAGGATGCTTTACTCACCATTCCTGCCACAGACCCACCTGCAAAGGGAAGAAGTGTGCTCAGTTATGCACTGGACACCCCCCGGTAACAGAAACTCCCCTTCCCCACAGCAGGTGCTGCCTTAGAAGCACAAATGCATGTTGTACCAAGGGACAAAGCCCCAATTACAGAGTAAAGCTCTCCCAGAAGGCAGGATGCAGGCAGAGAGCAAGGCTATTGGCCAGCTGGACTCCCTGTCCTGCGCCACCCCCATCTCCCTTTTAGACAGCAAGAGCCAAGGAAGAGTTACTAGTTAAAAAAGATGGTGTGCAGGTACTGTGAGCTGTGGCCACAGCAGCCCTGGGGAGCAAAACCCAAATTGTGGCAAAACCCAATCACGTCCCAAGGACAAAGGGATAGAGCCTGGAGTCCGGTTCCCCTCAGTAAGCTCTGTGACCCACTAAGAAGGGCCCTGCTGTCCCCAGGCTTTGTGGCCTTGTGGGGACCAGGCAGGAAGACCTGCTGTGAATTCTCCTGCTGTAGACCACCCCTCTTTGCCCATCACTGTTCCCTCCTGGGGATGGAGGAAAGGCCCGTAGCAAGAGTTACTACTGTTTGTACTACAGGGTCTTGAAAGCAGAGGCATTTCAAATGAGGGCATAGATTTTTTGAATCACTCAAGCAGGAACCTGGTACTTGACACAATATAATAAATATTCCAGCTCAGCTCCTAGCAGCATGCCTTCTAAGTTAATTATCTACTCCTATTTCCACGAATCTCACAGCTTACAAGGACAAGAGCCACTTACCCATACTGTGACCCATCAGGGTGAATCGTCTCCACTGCAAGGCTAAGTGGCAACAGACAAAAACAGACAGTGCTGCATTAGAAACCAGAGCAGCGGCATCTTGCTGCTTCTCCACCAACATGGGCCCCTTCTCCCGGAAGGGCTTTTGCACTGCTTAATTTGCTTCCTAATCCAGAAATGAGATGGCTAAGTAGGCCAGATTTAAAGAAAAAGAGCATCCACCACCTCATTTCCTTGGTAGTTAAGTCACGCAGCTCTCAAGCTCTCTCTGTATGGCAAACAAACTACAGCAAATTCCCATTCATTGCCAGACACGAGACTGGCAAGAAGCAAAGGAGCCTAACTGGGCAGCATCTGCTGGAAGAGAGAGACCTTGACAGAACATCCCACTTCAGGGCATTCCACAAGAGCCATGAGGACACAGAGCAAGGTCCGCTGCCTTGAGGAAAAGTATGATTATTCCAAGTGAAAGCTCTCTGCACCATTTAGCACATCAGGCTCTTCAGTCCATTTTTAGGGCACTCCAAGAGGCTTGTGGGAAAATACTGCTTCATCAGTGCTGCCTATTTGAAATATACCTCACTGAAAGATGTGTTTTACCCTCTGGCACATCAATGAGCTTCTAGAGGCTCTTTGTATACTGAATGAGGGATGCAAAACTGCACATGCCACAACCTCCCGCAAGATCAGCAGACGGGCAGTTAGATCAGGAGTTATTAGGAGCCCAAGACACCTTGGCTTTCAGATTTCTTTGTATGATACTAAAACAAGCAGCAAGCTGCCATTGGGGAGAACCAGAAGAGTCTCCAACTTACACCTAACACTGGTTAGAGGTCACTGGCTGCTTACAAAAAGTCAGTCTGGCAAAACTATTTAGTTGCATCCACCACTTCGCCACTACTGCTTTTTAGTATAGAAACACTTGCTTTCCAGGGCTTACTGTTTCTTCCTCTCACAAAATAGCGAGAAAGAGGGATGCTTATTCAGTCTGTGGTCACAAAGCACCAGCTAACATCAGGCTGGGGAGAAGCAAGGGAACTGACCCCTCTCCTGGCAGTAAATGCTGCCTGCTTGTTCTAAGGAGCAGGCACAATATAGCATCCCCTGCACAAACATCCCCTCAAGAGTCCCTTCAACTACCCACCTGCTGCCACCCGCCGCACATCGGTCACGTAATCCAGAAAATGGTAGGGGGAGCCTGCAGGTCGATGGGATGACAAGCCATGGCCAGAGAAATCCATTGCCACATAATAGCAATCTGAAAGGGAGAGAATATCAGATGTGCAGCCCTGCAACACAACAAGAACCATCCTGATGAGCCAGACCTACCTCTGGGGAGCAGTGGAATGAGCTTGTCAAAGGTGTTGGCGTTGTCCAGCCAGCCGTGCAAGCACAGCACGGGGTGTCCCTCCGAGGGTCCCCAGGCCTTGGCTGCCACGTGGCCCCAGGGCACAGGGAACTTCAACTCTGAGAACATGCCCAAAATAGTGTTCGCAAGTGATGTCCCTGGAGAGCCACGTGCTCGGAGTAGGTCCCAGGGATCTTGTTAATGGCCCAGAGCTCTGAAAAGAATAATACAGGTCTTTAGTAACTTACCAGTCTCCTGTGGTCTTAATTAGCAGCTTGCTGATTTATAGCTCCCCATTCAACATCCCAAGCTGCCGTCCCTGCCTGCCTGTTTGGGGAATCCTCCTCCCAGCACGTACTAGCAATGCTCCTAGGAAGAAACAAGCTTTCCCTATGCAGCAGTAGAAAGCCTCCTCTCTGTGTCTCTGCAGCAGCTGCAACCTGACCAGAAAGCACAGGAGATCTGGCAAGAAGGAACCACGTAGAATTCCCCCAGCTAGCTGCAGTCAGCCAGGCACCTGTCCTGGACCAAAAAGACAATTTCGGGAATAAGGGTGCTGCCTCCAGTACTAGACTGTTACCACCTTCTCTTTTACCTTGGTGCTTCCCCTCTTTCACACCACCAGTTGGCACCTCAAGAGAGCAGCTGGCTACATGCCACACAGCAGGTCACTGCTGCCACCTTCCCGTGCACCCCTCAGGGCCAGGGACCCTGCATGGGATATGGGTCCACAACCTGCCAGGCACCTGTTCAACCTCAAACCTGTCTCATTACTGCCGATCTGCCTGGCAATCACTGAGCTACATCTGACCCTTACTCAACCCCAGCCTCTGGGGATCTTCCAGGGGTGGTTTGAGTATCTCCCCCTTATCCCCAAGCCCTTCTGACCCCTGGGGCTCCTCATGGGCAGCCTGACTATCCCCATCCCCAAGTCTCTCATGCCATATCCCCTTTCCAGTGACTTGTCTCAGGTCTCTGCTCCCTTACATAGCCCCCTGAGACCCCACAGCAATTAAATCACTCAACAGCAAGTCCCTCCTGAGCCCATACCTCTGTAAGGTGTGAGGACAGAGGGGGTGAGCTGAGAGGTGAGGCTGCTGTCAGGGCCCTGAGAGCACTTACAGGCCCTAATGGTCCCAATCAGCCACACCTGGGGCCTCCCCTATATCTTTCCCTCCTGCCTATGAGCCTATTTAAGCTCAGCCCAGGACCAGCCCCAGCGATGCTGCAGGAGTGCTGGTCTCCAGCAGCAGTGCCCTAATCACACGGACCACGGTCCTACCTGCTGATCGTGGGGCTGTGTCTCACCCCAGCTGCCCTCACTGGGCCTGATCCTGACAACCGTGGGCTGTCTTCCTGGCGTGACCATGGACCTGCCCCTTCCTCACAGACCTGCCTGATGACCTGGGCTCCTGGCAGAGCCTGACTGCCCTTCCCGGGCCCAGCGGGGCTCCGGCCCTGGGGTCCCGCCCGGCTCCGGGGTGGGGGCCTCCCCAGGCAGGCAGAAAGGGCC